GCCAGAACAGGATCGTTTATCAAGCAATTTACCACCATGGGTGACCAAAGCTTCATTCCACTGGGACACTTTGGGAAACGGACTATTATACAAACCTCAGAGTTATCCCACCTGAGGAGTGGGGGAACTGGGGTATTTATACACCAATTTCCATGAGTCATTGGTTGAGGGCTGCCCCTGCTTAATGTTAATTAGATACTCACATGAATAACAATGAACCTCAATTCCTACCTCATTTCACACACACACAATTTATTGTAAGAAGAGCCATTTGCTTAGACATAAAACTTAGAACCATAAAGTTTCTAGAAGAAATCATAGGAGAATCTGTGTACAACCTTGGGGTAGGCTATAGCACTGATCTTAAAAGAAAATAAAAATTGATAGACTAAACTTCATCAAAATTGAACACTGCTCTTTAAAAAATACTAAGAAAATGCAAAGCCAAGCCAAGAATGGGTAAATATTTTCAGTACATATAGCTGATGAAGGACTTGTATCCAGAATACAAGGAGTCCTACAAATAAAAAATGGCAAAAGACAGATTGGGAAAAAATATTTGGTAATAACATATCTGACAAGGGACTTATCTCTAGAATTTATAGAACACTCCAACACCTCAATAACAAAAAGACAAACAATCCAATTAAAAAATGGGCAGAAGACATGAATAGACACTTCACCAAGGAGGATATTCAAGCGGCCAACAAACATATGAAGAAATGCTCGCGATCATTAGCTATTAGAGAGATGCAAATCAAAACAACAATGAGATACCATCTTGCTCCAGCACTAGTAGCAAAGTTCAACAAGACAGAAAATAACAAATGCTGGCGAGGTTGTGGAGAGATTGGGACTCTCATACACTGCTGGTGGGACTGTAAAATGGTACAACCATTGTGGAAAGCAGTATGGCGATTCCTTCAAAAGTTGGAAATACAAATACCATTTGACCCAGCCATCCCATTACTAGGTATATACCCTAAAGAAGTGAGAGCCATAACAAGAACAGATATATGCACGCCGATGTTCATCGCAGCACTATTTACAATAGCCAAAACTTGGAAACAACCTAGATGTCCAACAACTGAAGAATGGATAACCAAACTTTGGTACATTCACACAATGGAATACTATGCAACGCTAAAGAATAATGTAGAATCTGCAAAACACCGCATAACGTGGATGAACTTGGAGGACATTATGCTGAGTGAAATAAGTCAGTCACAAAAGGACAAATATTGTATTAGTCCGTTATTGTGAAAGTTAAGGAAAGGTTTATATATTGGAGGACATTTTCTTTGTTGGTTACCAGGGGTGGGAGGGAAGGGGAGGGAATGTTGTTAGATAGATAGAGATAAATATTGATTTGGGTGAAGAGAAGGGCAATGTACCAAATGTGAGTGACCAATATGGCAGCATTGAGGATGAGAAAGACAGAGAGAGTTACATGGGCAGTACAAACAACAAATATGAACCCCTTTGCAAATACAATACTGAGCTGTCAATGAAAGCAAACATGGGTATAGGGACGGATAGATGGGTGAACAAGCTAAACAATTATGTATGTCTAAATGGAGAGTGTATCCAAGATCATATACAGGGTTGGCAGGCAATGGGCCTCTCAGGGTGCAGAAGAGTATGAAGGGATGGACACTGGGAGGAGGTAACTATGGGGAGGAAGTGGGAGGGGAGCTGCTGCATTGTAAATTTTGGTCAATGACATGAGACAAAGTATATGTGAACTGCTGTATGAAAAGTGAATTTACTCTGTAAATCTTCACCCAAATCCTAATAAAAAAAAAAAAGAAAGAAAAAGATCATAAAATTATGAATAGAAAATTAAAACCAGATCCTTGGAAAAAAAAAAAAGGCAAAAGATTTAAACAGACACTTCACAAAATAAGATATACAAGTGGCCAATAAGTCTTGAAATGAAGCACAACACCATTCATCACCAGGGACATGTAAATTTTAACCACAATGAAATACCACTACATTCTCACCAGAATGGCTAAAATTAAAAGGCTCGACAAAGCGCAGTAAAGATGTGAAGCAACTGAAATTCTCATATTTTGCTAGTTAGAACAGAATATGGTATTACCACTACGGAGAATTCTTTGGCAGTTTCTTTTAAGTATAAACATATATCTCTCTAGGAACCAGCAATTCTACTCCTAGTATTTAGTGAAGATAAATGAAAGCATGTATCTACAAAAAAAGACTTGTTCAAGAATGTTTATAGCAGCCTTTGGAAAAAAGACTGGGAAACAATGCAAATGTCTATCAAGAGGAAATTATCAAATGAACTGTGGTATAGCCATAATAGTGTTTCATTCTGTTGTACATGGGGTTGCTGTGAGTTGAAACCAACTTGATGGCACATACAATAGGATCCTTTCAACACTAAAAGGGATTGAACTACTGATACACACAACATGGATGAAGTTCAATGAGCAAAAAGTATGAGATATAAAAGAGTACATTCTATATCATTTCATGCATAGATAGTCCAGGAACAGGAAAGCTGAACTTCAGAGATAAAGATCAGATCAGTGGTGGGTGAAGATTGACTGGAAGGGGGCACTCACAAGGGAAATTTGGGGGTTTTGGAAAAGCTCTACATCTTGTTTTGGTGGTTGTTACATGAGTGTATGCAACAGTCAAAATTCATCTCTTTGAACACGTAAGATCTGTGTTTTTTGGTATATGGAAGTTAGACCTAAATAAATGTTAATAGTTTTATTTTAAAACAGAAATCACAATAGCCATTGAAAATATGGAATAATTTACTCAGTGTTTACTCTATCACTAGACTGTAACCTTCAGGTAGGGGGAAACCATGTCTGTTTTGTTCTCTACTGTATTCTCAGTGCCTAGTACAGTGCCTGGCACCCCCTGATTGCTCAAGACACATTTGTTAATTGCCTATGTTTTTGAGAGCCTCTATTCATTGAGCTGTGGCCTTATCATATCTCCCTTTGCAGACTTGACCTGCTCTTGGCAGACTCTGGTGGCCCCAGAAGCTCAAGCACAGGTGCATTGTCTAGGAAGGGAGCTTGCAGGTGGGAACCCAGCAGGGCCCTGGGTGTCCTTGGGCATTGACAGGGTCCCAACTGTGAGCACCATCTGCTCCTGTGAAGGGTGTCTGACAGCAGCTGCAGCCCAGGACCTAGAAGGTGAGCACCTCTGAAAATAAATGTCAGGCTCCCGTTCCCATACTCTCTGCCTGTAGGGAGCTCACAGAAAGTCACTTTAACCCTGGAAACAGAATGAACCAAAATGTGTACCACTTTGTAATCTACCAACTGTTTTCCTGTATATGATCTTATTTTATTCTCCCCTTGATTCTGTAAGGTAGGCCTTTATTAACCCAATTTTACAGAGAGGTTAAGCGACTTCACCAAGGTCACACAGAGCTGGGATTCAAGCCAAGTTTCTAACTATTTACTACTATTTAAATCACAATACTGCTGTGTCACATAAGGACCTTTAGAAGCAATTTCTGAAATCTTACCTCATCCATCAGGCTTTACTGAACTAATGGAAAGATCCATAGTAAATACCCCTTGCCTTTAATCCAATTGATCCCATATGTCCCTGAGAGATTAACCTGTTTGGACCACCACTATGCAAATTTTCCACAGTCCTCCCACCTACCAAGTAAAATGCACACTCCTTAGCTGCTGTTCAGTGCTCTTTCACCCCAGCTCACCTTTGTAGCCTCATCTTTCTTTAAAAAACAAACAAACAAACTTGAAATCTTGCTAATTATGCCACTATCCTCATCACTGCAACTCTGCTCAATTTCCCTACACATGGAATATCAGTTTCCTCCATCTTCCCTCGGGAAATTTTTTCTTACCATTCAAGCCCTAACTCAAATATCACTCCCACTTCTTGTTGGTAGGTTTTTTTTTTTTTTTTTCTGAAATCGTTTAGAATGCTTGGTTTGTAACTTTCACATGCTGTTAACTGTCAGGTTTTATGGGTATGGTCCCTGGGTAGCACACATAGTTAAGTGCTTGATTACTAGCCAAAGGGTTTGCGGTTTGAACCTACCCAGAGGTACACTGGAAGAAAGGCTTGGTGATCTGTTTCTGAAAGGTTACAGCCTTGAAGACCCCAGGGTGCACAGTTCTACTCTGACATATACGGGGTCATCATGAGTCAGAATCAACTCAATAGCACCAACAACAATATTATGTGTATATTTGCACTTCTCTTTTTCTTTCTTATTAGGAGCCCTGGTGGTGTAGTGCCTAAGACATTTGACTGCTAACTAGAAGTCTGGGGGTTCAAACCCACTAGCCACTCCTCGGAAGGAAGGTGGGGCAATCTACTTCCGTAGTGATACCGCCTTGAAAACCCAAGGAGGGGTAGCTATGTGTCGAATTCGACTCCACGTGGTTTTCGTTTTTTCTTTCTTCTTAGATCCTGAGGTCCTAGTTTAGTTGCACTTGTTGTTTGAGGCACAGCTTATATTTCTAGCAGTCCCCCACTCACCTATTCCCAACAAGGGGCCAGGGGCATTTCATCTGAAAGGCTATTGTGAGGAAGGAAAACTTGTTCAGGCACCTTCAGAGACCCAATCTAGTACCAGTGTATAGAAGTTACAAGGATCAGCCCCTTCCGGAAATTTTTCAGTCAGAGCTGCTTGATGATATAGAAAGGGCTGCTTAAGGGTAGGTGAGGGCCCAAAAATTGTTGACGCAAGATCAACTACCATGTATAAGCATCACAATGATACTTCAAGGTAGAAGCTACTAGCTCTACTTTCCCCACAAAGACCAGACCGTGTCCAAAGTTAAGAGATGGCAGAGCCCACCTACAATAATGCAAGAGCCCCCTGCAGTAGTCTTCTGGGCATGCCCATTGGCTTCCACTTGAGGAGGAGGGTGGCCCTTGGATCACTTTGCTTCCCGATTGGCTAGCTGTGCGGCTTGGCAACTCCCCTTCCTTCCCCAACCCTGGGAACTGCGCATGTTCGAAGGCCAGACATGGCAGAAGCGGGAAAAGTGGAGGCCGGCCTTGGGCTACCGGAGTTAGAAGCAACCCAGTGGCCGCTACAGCGGTATGGGCGCTTCATGCCCTCAGGCACAGGAAAGCCAACTGTGCCTGGCCAGGAAGCTGGGACAGCCTCTTCTCTAACATGGAAGGTGAGGCCGGAAGGCATGAATGGCTGCAAGGTACTCACAGGCGTCAGGGAGGGTGTGAAGACCTTTGTTAGCGTCCACACGGGGCCTGGTTCCCTGAATGCTACTCGGACAGGAGGGGACACTGAGGGACTGGCAAACTGACGGAAATGTTGATGAATGAACAGGTCCAAAGAGATTGTCAGACGTAGACACTGAAGGGGCCGAGTGACTCTGACTCTGACATGCAGCGGGGAGGCTGTGGGCCAGATTGAGAGACAAGGGTTCTCTAAAACTGACAGAAATACACTGCCACACATGGAGGCTGACTGGTCATTACGGGCTGTCTGGCAAACTCCATCTATAACACTTTCCCCACTACAGAGCTGACTAAGCAACCCAAAACAAACCAGTCTCTGTGTAGTTGGTTTTTTATTCATAGTGACCCCTATGACCTTTTGGAAGGAGATTGCCAGGCCTTTCTTCCAAGTCACCTCTGGCTGGGTTTGGGTTGGTTAGGAGGTGGGTGTTTAACCCTTTGTGCCACCCAGGGGACCAAAGGTGACTAAAGCCTGATACACATGGAAGGACGAACCAACAGACAGGGTAACTAACCTATGGTTGAGGGTTCTGGGGCTGACCCTCAGGTCCCAGGACAAAGAGCGTGTTGGGGCAATCCCAAAGAAAGGTCAAGAGGCGGGGTTAGGGTGGGCCAGGAGGTAGATTTGGTCCATTACATGAAGTGATGTGACCATCCAGTCTTATAAAAGTGCTTATAAATGTGTTACAAAGGTAAGGCATTTGCTAACCAGAAGTTTGGTGGTTCAAACCTACCAACTGCTCTGTGGAAGGAAGATGGGGCAATCTACTTCGGTAAAGATTTACTGCCTTGGAAACCTAATGGGTGTTGCTATGAGTTGGAATGGACTTAACGGCAGCGGGTTTGGTTTTTTGAAATGTATTACACAAGTGAAAGGGAGTATAGTCATTATTTTGTTTTTCTTTTTTAAAATTCCCCGCCGTTGGTTCTACAGTCTCCTTTGCCCCTATGTCCTATATAGTTGAAGGACAGGAGAAAGGTACTAAGAGTGAAGTGGATGCCCATTCCCTGTTCTGGACCATCTATTCCACAGTTTCTTTATCGGCTACTGTTTTTGTTTGTTTTTTAGGATAACATATATAGAGAGGCATAGACAGAATTTACTTTCATTACAGAATCATCCCTAACCACGGTGGAAGGGAGGAAGGGAAAGTCTAAGAGAGGATTTCTTTCCTGGAAAATGAGAAGCTGGCAACTTCTTACAGTATCCCCTACATGAAAATGTTCTAAACCATTTTCATACTTCTCAGTTTCACATACCTGTCTTTCTATCCCTTAAAATACACAAATGGGCAATGTCAGCTTCTGCCTTATTGGCGAGGTTGGATGGGAGCCCTTTCATTTTCCTTTCTCAGTGCCTTAATGTATCTCTTCTTTACCTAGTCTATCATTCCCCAAAGTGTGTTACTCTTCAAATGGTTCTGTGGTTAAATTAACTGGGGAAAAATGTTAAATAGATTCCTTTAATTTAAGATTATTCATTCTTTACTATGGTAGGGTACGTTATGAATTTCCAAAATGAAGGCAGAGAATATAACATTTCCCCAATGTAATTGACCATAGAACTCAGTTTTGAAGAAGCCTCTGATGTACCATGGAATATCTTTTGAGAAACACTTTTGTACTCCATTTTTTTTTAAATCACTGAGGGCTCCCTTAAGTATGTTATCTATTTATTTATGACTTAAAAAAGATTACAGAAATTTTCCATTGTAACCATTTTCAGATATACAATTAACTCCCTGTTATCCCTACTCCAGCCCCAGATAACATCTAATTGAATTTTTTGTTTCTGTGAATTTGTCTGGAGTCCCTGAGTGGTGCAAATGGTTAAGCACTGGACTACAAACTGAAAGGTTAGGGGTTCAGACTTATACAGAGGCACTTTGGAAGAAAGGCCTGGCAATCTGCTTCTGAAAAGTCATAGCCTTGAAAACCCTGTGGTGTGCAATAATACTCTGTACTCTTGGGGTCACCATGAGTAGTCATGAATTTGATGGAAACTAACAACAACAGCATGCATTTGTCTGTTCTAGATATTTCATATAAGTAGAATCATACAATATTGCCCTTTTGTGCCTGATGTGTTTCACTTGGCTTAGTGTTTTCAAGCATTTTGTAGCATGTATTTCCTTTTATGGCTGACTGATATTACATTGTATGGGTAAACCACATTTTGTTTATCCATTCATCTGTTGTTAGACACTTGGGTTATTTCCACTTTTTGGCTATTATGAATAATGCTGCTATGAACCTTGGTGTACAAGTATCTGGTTTCATGTGAAAGTCCCTGCTTTCAGTTCTTTAGGGTATATGCCTAAGAGTGGAATTGCTAGGTCGTAAGGTAGTTCTACATTTAATTTTTTGAGGAACTACCAAGCTGTTTTTCCCAGTGGCTGCACCATTTTACCTTTCCACCAGCAATGTGTGATGGCTAATCTTTAAGAATTAGATTCCTGTTCAACAATTTCTATCCAAAGTGTTCAGTGACATTGGTTACATTTATCATAATATGTGAACATTCTCATTATTTCTGTTCAGGTTGTTCTGTTTTCCTGAATCTCGTTTCCCTGACCCCTTACAGTTTAATTTTTGTTTTCAAGTAATTGTAGACCAAATGGGAGATCTTACTTTTGGTTATTTTATTTTTTTAGTTATACAATTTCTGTTTGAGTACTTTGCAAGTCTTTTCTTTTTTTTTAATTGTGATTTGTGTGAAAGTTTACAGAGCAAATTCACACTTTCTATACAGCAGTCCGCATACACTTTGTCTCATGGCATTGGCTGTAATTTACCACAAAGCAACAACTCCCCTCCCACTTCCTCCCCATAGTTACCTCTTCCTTGTGCCTTCCCTCCATACACTCCTGCCCCCTGAGCTTTCTCCCTATGCATACACAGCCCTTCTAATCTCCCATGATTGTACGCTCCAACAGGTGGTCATTGAAACAATCACAAAAGCCTCCTCAGGAATAAGGAGTGTAAACAATAAATGTTTACTAGGGCACAGTGACCCAAAGTATGAAACATCCCAACAAGATAAAAACATGGACTACTGGAATAACATTTACTTTTGATACTTGATGTTTTGCCAAGTAAGCATTTAAACGTGAAAGAGGCCTTGCCTTCTCTTGTTGCTGTTGGACATGTGCCTTGCACTCATGTCTCTCTTGGTCTCCAACAAAGTGGAACAATGTTTTGTGTAGTATGTTATGCCAATTGAGCTTGTTGTCCCCTGTGACTACATTCCCGAGCCCACAGGTCCAACTACTCTCTCCCTCTGGGTAGCTGGCTGTGGCCAAGAAGTGACTACAACCTTGTCCCTTCTCAGCTCAACTATACAGCTGGGAATTCTTACAGAACATAGCAATACACTTGTAGAAACATTGTCTGTCAACACTATACATGGTCTTGGGCATACTGCCCCCTGCATAAACCAAACTCACTGCCATGGAGTCAGATCCAACTCATAGTGACCCCTCCTTGGGTTTCTGAGGTGGTAGCACTATGGAAGTAGATTGCCCAACTTTCCTTCTGAGGAGTGGCTGGTGGGTTTGAACTGGTAGCCTTCTGGTTAGCAGTCAAATGCCTTAGGCACTATCCTACCAGAGCCCCCCTGCATAGACATACCTAATAGTTCACCCTGTCCAACCATCTATCCACCTGTATATCCATGTTTGCCTTCACTGACAATGCAGTACTGTGTGTACAGAAGGGTTCATCTTTGTTGTCTGTACCTCCTATGTACCTCTCTCTGTCTTCCTCTTCCTCAGCACCACCATGTTGATCACTCACATTTGGTACATTGCCCTTCTCTTCACCCAAATCAGTACTTATCTCTACCTATCTAACAGTGTTCCTTCCCCTTCCCTCCCATCCCTGGTAACCAACAAAGAAAATTTTCTTCTGTACATAAACCTTTCCTTGACTTTTTACAATAGCAGACTAATACAATATTTGTCCTTCTGTGATTGACTTATTTCACTCAGCATAGTGTCCTCCAACTTCATCCATGTTATGTGGTGTTTTGCAGATTCTACATTATTCTTTAGGATTGCACAGTATTCCATTGTGTATTTGTACCATAGTTTGGTTATCCATTCTTCAGCTGATGGACACCTAGGTTGTTTCCATCTTTTGGCTATTGTAAATAGTGCTGCAATGAATATGGGTGTGCATATGTCTGTTCTTGTCCTGGCTTTCACTTCTTTAGGATGTATACCTAGTAATGGAATGGCTGGGTCAAATAGTATTTCTGATTCTATCTTTTTAAGGAATTGCCATACTGCTTTCCACAGTTGTTGTACCATTTTACAGTTCCACCAGCTGTGGTGGGAGAGTACCAGTCTCTCCACATCCTCACCAGCACTTTTTATTTGCTGTCTTGTTGAACTTTGCTACTAGTGCTGGAGCAAGATGGTATCTCGTTGTTTTGATTTGCATCTCAATGGCTAATGATCATGAGCATTTCTTAATATGTTTGTTGGCCGCCTGAATATCCTCTTTGGTGAAGTGTCTATTCATGTCTTCTGCCCATTTTTAAATTGGATTATTTGTCTTTTTGTTATTGAGGTGTTAGAGTTTTCTATAAATTCTAGAGATAAGTCCGTTCTCAGATATGTCATTGCTGAATATTTTTTCCCAATCTGTATGTTCTCTTTTGACTCTTGGAGGAGTCTTTGGAAGCACATAAACATTTAATTTTTAGAAGGCCCCATTCATCTCATTTCTCTTCTGCTGTTTCTGCATTTTGGGTTATGCTTGATAGTCTACTTATGCCATATATTAAGGCCCCTAAATTTGCCCCTAGTTTTTCCTTGAGGGACTCTATAGTTTTAGGTTTCACATTTAAGTCTTTGATCCATCTGGAGTTAGTTTTTGTGTATGGTGTGAGGTACAGATCTTGTTTCATTTTTCTGCAAAT